GATTAAGTTGACAATTTCGGTGGCAACCACAAAGTGGGTCACCACCGGCCACCACCATTGTTGATAGATACAAGAAAAAGGGCGAGTAGGAAGTTTTTCCGAAGTTGAGAGAACAAAGAAAAAAAAAAGATGAAATTGACTACTTTGTTGGAATTTAGGTTAATTTTCATTTTTATACTTAGGTTTTTGTCTAATTGCTAAATTACTAATTTGCCCAAAAAAAATCTAATAAAAAGTAACTAATGCATTCTGGGCACAATTTGGGCGGCAAGATTGGGCAGGTAACAAGAATTGTCAGGAAAAAAGGCGGGACTGTGGGGAAATGGAAAAAAGGCGGGACTGTGGGGAAATGGAAAAAAAAATTATAAAAAAGTAAAAAAAAATTCTAATAAGAACTGACTAATGCATTCTGACTTCTGAACACAATTTGGGCAGCAAGATTGGGTGGGATTGCAAGAAACAAGGTGGGATTGTGGGGAAATGGAAAAAAATTTATAGGAAAGTTAAAAAAAAAAAAGGGCCTCGATTGTTTGGGCCTATTCTTGCGGTTGCCGGTTGTTGGGCTCAAGAGCCGACAACCGCCCACTTGGGCCATCAATTACAACCGCAATCGAGATCCACCTCAACCGATCACAAGAAAAACCCGATTCACCAGTTACGATTGCGGGCAGGCACCGGCATTTTTGCGGTTGTGGCCCTAAACGCCCAGCCCTAAAATCATCTACGTGGCTACGTCCCTTGCCTTGCTTCCAATGTGGTTAATTGTCGAATGACACCTCCTGCATTGACTTCAATTCCCTCGTCGATGGTATAACAAAAATGAAGTGTTGTATAATTTAAAATAAATTAAATTATATAACTAAATTATTAAATAAAAAGTTAATTCTCCTAAAAGTAGAGTTGATTTGAGAGGAAATGAAAAGAGAGGAAAAAAGCTGTGCTCTTAATCAATTGCGCATGCGCATTTTCATTTAAAGAAGCCAAATTTTACTAAAATATAAAATTAATTTTTTTTTAAATTAAATTAATTTTTTTTAGTTTGAACAAGTGTAATGAGATTGGATTGAATCGTTATTAAAAAAAAAAGTAAGTGAACTTTTACCAAAATTATGAATGCCACTTAACCCTATAGGCAGGTCCTTGAAACTTGATAAAATTAGTTTGTTTTCCTGCAGAATTTAATATATTATTAAAAAATTATAAAAAAGCAAAAGCCATAAGACAAGGTAATCAGCTTTGTGGTATGGTATGTGTTGAATTATTGGCAAAGGCAATAATGCAGTGAGGCCAACTGCGGACCCAGTTGTTTTTGATACAGGAAAATGATAAAGCTACAAAGAAGTTAAAATTTTCTGTTGCTAGGACTATTTTGCCCCTGTCATGACCAAAGTCATCTTCGTCCCTTGCTTCCAATTTGGTGAAGTTTCGACGACACCTCCCTCCTGCATTGACTTCTAGTCAAGTCCATCGTCAATGGCAATTTGGTGAAGTTTCGACGACAATTCCTGCATGGCAATTTTGTGAAGTTTCGACGATACCTCCTCCGTCGACTTCGAAGTCAATTCCACCGTCAATGGCAATTTGGTGAAGTTTCGACGACAATTCCTGCATGGCAATTTTGTGAAGTTTCGACGACACCTCCTCCGTCGACTTCGAAGTCAATTCCATCGTCAATGGCAATTTGGTGAAGTTTCGACGACAATTCCTGCATGGCAATTTTGTGAAGTTTCGACGACACCTCCTGCATCGACTTCCAAGTCAATTCCATCGTCAATTGCCATTGGCGATGAAAAAATAATGAGTACTTTTACGGAGTCTAACCTCTCTCGACTAGAATCGGAGTAATTTATTTTCAAAATTTTTTTCAACAAAATTTTAAATTTATAAGAAAAAAATTTACTTTTTTTGAAATTTCCCAAACACCCTCATAGTTTCCTTTTATTTTCTTTCATATTTTTTTATGCAATTCTTTTTATAATTAATTTACATAAAGAGGAAAAAAGTTATTCTCCATGGTTAGGAAAACCGTTTCTTAATTTCACTGCTTTCCTTCGCCGCTAAGTAGATTCAAATATAAAAAGCTATCTCCACTTGTTTTCTTTCGCTGCCTTCCTGATCTTCATTGCTGCCTCACATATTTTCTTATGCAACCGATGAGATTCACCTTCAAATGGCTTCACCAATGGTTCGGTTCCCTTTCCCGTTTCCCAATATACTTTTCAGCCTTTGATTTTATGTGCCACTACAATTTGGTACCACTTATCACCTAAACTTGAATTTTTTTTTGCAGATTGCACCATGTTGGTAAGATCCACTACATATTCTAGTATCTGCAATTTGTCTCTCAAACCTTGTAATTGAGGAAGCCCA